GCGTTTCATAAAGGGGCGTGTCACTTTGCAACCTGCGGCGCGCCCACGTTTTATTGAATAGACAATATGAGAAAAACTAAAAAATAGGTAAATTTAACATTTTCCCGCCGGGTTACTGTCGCACTCGTTTCAACTGTTTCCGGTTGTTTACGCTTTCAGATATTTGTTTACAAACATCGCATACACTTCGACTCAACCTTTTTTTCTCTGACAAGGATAATACAAAAAAATTGTTTTGTTCTGTCTGATTTTTCATGATACCTTTTTTATAAATCTGGAGTTTTTTGCCTGTTCAATCAATAGAACTCCCGATGACTCCTCACAAAATTCTTATCAGTTATCATTTGAGTCAATAGCATAACACAGAGCTCTAAAACTCTTTCATACACACAATTTTGCCATGCATTCTGTGAGGTAAAATAACAATTTAGATTTAATTTATTTTTTAAAAAAATTCAGAAAATATCCCAAACCGAAATTCGAAGGATGGAAACTGGCGAAGTATTCGTCCGCTCTTCAAATTTTCCAAACTGTAAAACCAGTAAATTTAATTTTAAAAAGTCTGGAAATTTTCAGCTGGGCAGTCTGGTGGTTTTTATATTAACAAGTTCCGTTGGTTCTCAATTCCCACCCACCTACGCGGTCCTTCTCACTTCCATTTTCACAATAATCGGAGCAGCAGTTTTTGTCATTTGTGACGCTTTTAACTTCAATAAAACCGAACCAGATGAGTGGATCTTCTGGGTGAGCATAACGAGTTTTTTTTCCAAAATCAGTCGGAAAATCGTTTTCAGGAAAGTGTATTCACTTCTTCGTTCTCGTTTCTCTTCACCGTCAACACAATGACAATGCTCTACAGTTCGATTCGATGGAACAACACTGCTTGGTGGCTGGCAACTGTCGTGTGCTCAATGGTCACAATGTCATTTTTTCTTAGCTTGATTCATGTGATGAGAAAACAAACCAAAGGGCACATTGCGCTGACTCAGGAAGAGAATATTGTTCGCTTCAACACACGAATGAATCGTCGTGTTTAAATTCATGTTTTGTGTCAATTATTTGGGTCAATTTATACATTTGAACGATGAATAAAAATTATGAACATAAATTAAAGTTCGGAAGTATTGAAGAGGTACGGGAGATCAAATTATTCTGGAATGGTTTCAGGGAAACTCGTCGGACGAACGAGTCGAGAGTCTGTCGATCTGTTGTCGGGTGAGCTGGAATTCCACAAATCGGGTCTTGGCTCTGGAGACACTGGTGACTTGGTAGGGTCGTCACTAAGAAGTGCCTTCTCCATATATTTTGTTGATATCGGAAGTGCTGTGAAAATCTGTCCTGGTCCGTTGCGCAACGGTCTAGAAGTGTCTTTAGTAACCGGATCAAACGCAGGCATTTTGAGAGTGGTCTTGATGGCGTCTGCGTGTGTTTCCAGGCTGAAGTGAGAGTAGTATCGAACAAAGTCAGCAATAGTGGTCAAGTAGACGTTGCTGTGTTCGAATCCCCAGCCTTCCTCGTTTTGTTCAATGAGACAATGAGAGACACGTTCACCATACAGAACGCTCAACACTAGTTTATCCGACTAAAAATTAGAAATTGTTTAATAACTGTTAGCGCAAGTTTTGAATTTCATACCTGAGATGCTGAAGCACGGATGAGGAAGATTCCATCCATGGGTTCCCGTTTCAGTCCAACAGCCTTATCAAGTTGTGCAATTCGATAGCGGGCATGAATGAGTGCGTTTGCAGCGTTCTCTTTCGATGCTCCACACATGAGGAATTGTGCTGGTGTCCATTTCAATTCCATGTCTACCAAAAGCTGTGTCACTTTGGTTGGCTCACTGTTGATCAACTCTGCTCCAGCATCCAAAATCGATCCCATTTTGTGACTCAACGATGGATCGATTTGATCGTAAACTGCGCCACGAAGTTCCATCAATTTGTACAGTCGTGCTTTCCAGTTTTCTTTTTTTGTTGAGATTTCAACCAAAATCCCAGAGAGCGTCTTTTTCTTTTCTGTTGAAGATTCAAGCTCGGCTTGGATTCGTCTGATACTCTCTTCCAGAAACTGAAGCAAAAAAAAAAAGTAAGAGGATTACGATCGATAAATGAACATACCGTTTTGTTATTAACAAATACATTTTTGAGCATTTCACTATGCGATAATGAGGCTGCACTCTCGTTCACCACCACAGATTCTGTTTCCAGAACAGTTTGCAACTTTTCCAATTTGACCTCATTGTCTCGAATGGACTGAGTCAGTGCATGGTACAATGTCTCTGCTTTTTCCATTTCCTGATGAGCAGAATCATAGAGCTTAGCTCCTCTCTCAAATGCCAAATGAACTGCTCGCAGATTCTCTAATTCCAGCCGTTCTCGCCATTCTGAAAATTTGTTCTTTGGGAAATCATTCCAGCTGCTACTCACCTGTATCGTTCCTTGCATTTAGAATCAATCTTTGCTGAAGATGTCCTTTCTTGAACAATGGCTTTCCATTTTGAGAATTTCGACGAACAGAAACGGGGTATAAGAGGCGAACATCCAATGAATCGTTGAATACATTAAGCGAAATGTTTCTGTGAAACTCGATAAGCTTGATAACTGAATCATGCGTCAGCTGGTCTGTGTTGAATCCGCATTTTCCATCCTTGACGGCAATACGAAGAAGCTTCACTTGATTATTGTATTTGACCGAAAGTGTGTAATCGCCGGGTTGGCTGGCGTTTCTGACAACAAACGATCCATCGGGCTGATCAGATAGTGCTTGAGAAACCGTTGATCGATCGGCGTCTCCCCAAAACCATCCCTGTTCCATGAGATTGTGCGCCACGCCTGCACTTGGAGTTGAAGGTGTCGTCGCCATTCTGTGGAGAATAATGATATTGTATTACTAACAAGAAGGGACAAAATAAAAAGTAAGTGGAATGGTTAAAAACCAAGTGAGCATCGTTGGAGCAAAAAGAAATCATGTGTTTAAAATAAATTACTTCATTTATAACCCAATCACTAATAAGTTGCCCGTTTTGGAAAAATTTTCATAACCATAACCATTGAAACGAAGCTCATTAGAAGAAACATGAAGAGGAAGACTCGCATACAATCAAGGCCGCATTTGTAGGCATGATGGGCGGCCCGAGCGCTTTCGACCTGAGAAAAGAAAACATCATACTTGTAATCCGGGCCTTTGCCAGGCCTACGCGGGCCCTGCCATAATTTCTTTTAGAATCTATATTTTCGAACCAACTAAATCAGATATGATAGAGCTCCACGAGTACTACAAAACGGCATGATTTGGAATACTGTATCTTATCTATGAACAAAGTTACAGATCATAAAGTGGCTTTTCTCGCAGGGCCCGGCAGGCCCGGGGCGGGCCTGCTTTTTTTTTTGCTCTTTTTGCTCTGTAACTCTGTTCAAAGACAAGATACAGTATTCCAAATAATACCGTTTTGTAGTACTCGTGGAGCTCTATCATACCTGATTGAGTTGGTTCGAAAACATTGATTCTGAAAGAAGTTATGGCAGGGCCCGCGAAGGCCCGGCAAAGGCCCGGATTACAAGTATGAAAAACATTGTTTGTAGGTTTTGATCTTTTAAAGGGCAAGAACATGATCAGCGGAAACGGTTTGTCATTTATCAAGAAGAGAGATCATGTCGAGACAAATCAATCAAGAAAAGTTACCTCTAGCGCAGCAGTATTACTTTCCACTTGCTTCTGCATCTTCGTCAATTTCTGATTGTCATCTTTTATCACTTCTCCAGCGGCAGACATCACTGTTTTCAACGATTTGGTCATAGAGAGTAAATCGTTCGCCAGATCTTCCTCAAGGCGCTCGTTCTTGATGAATTTATCATCCTCTGAACATTTGGAACTGATCAAAAGGTCATTTCGGACAAACTCTTACCAGATGTATCAGCCATTTTCTGCTTGGTCGTAGAAAGCAGCTGTCTCCGAAGGTCTGTCCGATAGATGGAACGTTGGACCGCCCTGAGGCCAGCTGCTGACTCTTTTTCGAATTCGTCAAGATTAGCTGCAATTCACATATAGAAAAACTTTTAAGAGCAGAAACATACAGCTGTCAACATCAGTAACATCGACTGGGACATCAGCGAACACACATGGAATTTTCTCAATCACTTTCAGACTTTCTTCTGTTGATGACTGAAAATAACTATTTAACTTAGCAATTTCATAAGTATTTCATAACCAACCTTGGATTCTGCTTCAGCCAACAGCTTTAGTTGTAAAACTTCTTGCCTGTATTCGTGGAGTATGTCAATGAGTTTACTGAAATCCGCCGAAATCAGAATTTCAACGCAAAAAAGACTCACTTATCATCTTGAAGTGTATAAATCATACCATTCAGCAATTTTGTAGCGGCCGAAACCTGGGGAAACAACATTTTTATTTTCAGTCTCGAATGGTTTTCCGTACCTTCCAGACATTCGTAGAGAGATTTTCTTTGGTTAATCGTTTTGTTCTTTCCAGAAGTCGTAAGAATTTCAGCTCATTTTCAGAAATTGCGGCCATTTCATTTGAATTTGTTAGTGAAGCGTCGCAGAAACACGAAGAAAACAGAAAAAAGTTCGGTCATGGCCGAGAAAACCAAAAGGCGCAAGCACGCTCCGAAGAGAAAAATTTTCAAGTCATCATTTTCAAGCGCCGATTTTCTGATTCTTCCAGGCCTTTGGACCTTTTTCTTTGTTTTTAGAAATTAAAGAATCTTCAGAAATTGATCCTCGATATTGAAGAATATCGTTCAGGAGCTTTGCGAAAATACTTTGTTCTTCTCTCTAAATCTCAGCATATTTATTCTAAAGAATCAAACTTGATCTTTCAGATGGCTCGTCGTTATGATAGTAGAACGACCATCTTCTCTCCAGAGGGAAGACTCTATCAAGTTGAATATGCCATGGAGGCTATCGGACACGCCGGAACCTGTCTCGGCATCTTAGCATCGGATGGAATCGTGATCGCTGCCGAGAGAAAGAATGTCCATAAGCTTTTGGACGATTCGGTTTTGACCGAGAAGGTTTACCGTCTCTCGGACAATATCTCGTGCACTGTTGCTGGAATCACTGCTGATGCCAACATTCTCATCAACCATTTGAGATGGTGGGCTGCCAGCTATCGCAACAGCTACGGAGAGGAGATGCCAGTCGAGCAGCTTGTTCAAAATCTTTGCAATGAAAAGCAGAGATACACACAGATTGGTAAAATCGGATTTTTTGTAATTAAAATTTTCCATTTGTTTACAGGAGGAAAAAGACCGTTCGGAGTTTCGCTCCTTTACGCCGGATGGGACAAACACTACGGATACCAGCTCTACCAGTCTGATCCATCTGGAAACTACACTGGATGGAAGGCTACATGCATTGGAAGCAACCATCAGGCTGCCGTCACCTTGCTGAAGCAAGAGTACAAGTCTCCAACTCTCGAGGAAGCCAAAAAGTTGGCTATCAAAGTTCTCTGGAAGACACTTGACGTGAAGCTTGCTTCCGAGAAAGTCGAAATGGCTGTTCTCACTCGTCGTGATGGAAAGACTGTTCTCGAGGAACTTTCTACCAAGGAAGTCGATGGATTGATTGCAGAGCATGAGAAGAAGGAGAAGGAAGCCGAGAGTGCTGAGAAGAAGTAATAATCAAATTTAACTGAATCTTTTCATGTCCATTTTATTGTCAACTACTCTTCCCACCCCGTTTAATTTATTGTCTGGTTTTATTTCTTATCACCTGCTCTTTTTTCTCGAACAATCGGTGCATAAAATATTTTCGATATAGTATGTCTCAGATTTAGATGCACATTTATTTTTGGAGGAGAAGGGTGTTTCGCGTTAGGAAGCCTTGCGAAAAGTCGTTGAAGAAACGCGCCGCACGCTTGCATTGGGCGGGGCGATGGGCGTGGCGTCGAAATTTCTCGAGCATTCAGCTTTGACAACCGGATCGTTTAGCCAGATATTTGAAGCATTTTCGTCGTTTAACTTTTGAGATGGTTGACGAAGGAAAGCTGCAATGCTATCACAAAGGATGTGGACTTATGTTCGACCCAACGGAAAATAATAGCGGTAAGTTTTCTGATTTAAAGAAATCTGTTCAAATTCGATTCTCAGAAGCTTGCACTTACCACCCAGGCGCTCCCTACTTCCATGATGCTTATAAAATTTGGACGTGTTGTGATAAGAAGAGCACCGACTTCGGAACCTGGATGGGTTACAAGGGATGCACTCGTGGAAAGCATAGTAATGAAAAACCAGTAGACATTGTGAAAGTGGCAGCTGTTAAAGAAATTCGACCAGAAAAGGAGGAAGACGTTATTGTTTGGAAAGGACTCAACAAGTCTGGAAAGTCGGAGAAAAACGATTCATCGGAAAGAGTTGAAGTAACCTTAAATGTGAGTTTTCTTTGAAAAAAAAAAACAATAAATACGAAATAGTTCTTTTACAAAACGGGATTGTAGGTAGAAGTGACTCCCGGAGCTACTGCGGCTATCGAAAGAAAACTCAAAGAAGTCGCCGAGGCAGCTCAGAGCGAAGACGTCCAAATTGGAGCTCCGTGCCGGAATAACGGATGTACAGCTGAGTACGACGGAACAAAAAGCTCACATGGATGCGTACATCATCCTGGAACGGCAATATTCCACGAAGGAATGAAGTACTGGTCGTGCTGTAAAAAGAAAACCTCCAACTTCGGAACGTTCCTTGAGCAAGTGGGATGTACTGCATCAGAACACAAATTCAGAAATGTGAGGATTTTAATTGGAATCAATTTTGCAAAGTCAGCGTTTTCAGAATGAAGTTGTCAGTAAATTCCGGGAAGATTGGTTCTCTAGTAATGGTTTCGTAACTATCAATGTCTATTGCCGTGGAGCTCTGCCAGAAACGGCCAATATCGTCTCTGACGGGCACACCCTTCGTGTCACCATGAAGCACGGATTTGGAAACGCCGACGTGGATCTCGATTATGATTTGTGGGATGAGTTTTGCCGGAAGAAAGTCGAGTAGTGATCGGCGAAAGGAAAGTTGAAATCTCGCTGAAACAGAAGCATGGCACCGGCTGGCCTCGTCTCAAATTTGATCCCGAGCTCGATGCTAAGAAGGATGAAGAAGCTTAAAAATAATTTCTATATCATACATATCCTCGTTCTGTCTCTTTTCCCACCCCGCTCTCCTCCCACACCGATCTTCTACAAACATGAATAATTGTAATCATGGCGATATCCACTTCTTCTTTTTACTTCTCTTTAGGGCTATGGGTTCAAAATAGAATCGATCAGCTTTTACTTGATTGAATAAAGTTTTTTTCTTCATTTTGCGTTCCAAAATCGGAGTACCTTTTCCGAACAGGTATCTAACAGGGCTGCAACAGAATCGAATCGATCCGGAGAAGAACTGTCCCCAAATGGGAGACCCCGCAAATTCAGGTGAAAAGTGGGGGGAGTCGAGAAAAACCGTGCCAGGGTTGCAATTTAGGCTCCGCCGCTCATGACCGTGTCCAAATGTGCAAAAAAACCTTGCGGCAAAACCGTGCCAGGATTGCATTTTAGGCTCCGCCCCCGACTCCGCCCACTTTTCCCCGGAGTTTTTTCCCCGGAATTTGCGGGGTCTTCCAAAT